AAAAAAATGGGACTTCATCTTTCAAGAAGTCTGATTTGCAGTTTCTGTAATGTTCATTCAAATTTCCAGTCAATGCAGTCAATGGGTTTTTCATGGAAAAGTTATTTTTGTTGCCCATTATCAAGAACTTTATTAGAAATAACATGATGATATCGAGAGACAAATCTTGCTGATCAACTCCATTGAAATTCACCTTGTCTCAGTCTTTGCCAAAATCCTCTCAGCTCTGGTCCTCCAGGGTTTAAGAGTCTACTAGCCCATAGCAGAAGCAGCAGGGCTAGCAGATGAAGACAATTTTCAAAATTGTACTGCCCAGGCTCCCATTTCACTAGTATTTGGTTGGAGTCCATTGTTAAGATTACAGGCAGTCTCATAGAAATGTATAGTGATCAAAATGGCATGCCCATTGCACTTCAGTTTATTGTCCAAACAATAGATATCCACAAACCTGTTCAAGAAAGTATCTATATTTCACAATGTTTAACAGAGACCAACAAAGGTCTCACGAACATGTTATTCAGTCTTCAAAAAATCTCTTCCATTTCTTCAGCTTAGTTTCAGCATCGCCCAACCACTATATTTATGTGCCCTTCAGTGCCTTAAAATATAAATTTTGCAAACAACAGTAGTTCTTTTCTCCTGGTTCTATCTTGAGTTTTCTCTGAAGTTGTACGACTTTTACTTTGGTGTCGACTTCCTTGAAAAAAAATGATATCTTTTAAATTTCCAGTCCATCTTCAATCACCTTGTCAAGAATATTGCTGTAAAACATTTGACGATGGTAGTGTTGATTCAGTCCAACTTCAGGAACATTCCAACAAAACAAGCATATATAAGGATCAATTGATAAGCGATGGGGCTTTGAAACATGGTGCAGCTTGCAATAAATGGCAACATTTTTCAACAACTGCTGGAACATATGCTGGATTTTACAAAACAGCATCCATTTGACAGAAGATGGAACATACACTGGAAATGCTTCAAAAAGAAAGTTTTAAATGAATGCTCATGATCCTTATAGGAATCAAATGAATTTCCTATTCACTACATTCATAACCTCCACATCTATGGCAACCATCTTGATTCTGCCTTATTTCACTACCACAAAGGCACCATCAAGACCTTCCATTTCTTTCATATCCTTCGTTATCCCTCTCTTCGAAACAGTGACCAACAGGTGGATAACAATATTACCCGTGCCATTTTCCCAAACCACAGATAGATGGCGCCACTGCTGCGACCTAATTGTGGGATCTTTCCAGTAGGAACGCGCCCAGGCAGCTTTAACTCATAACTGCACAGCTCACGACTGTGTGGTGAGAAAAAGGAGTATGCTCTATAATACTTCACCCCATACCGATTATTGAAAAGATGTCTGCCAGAAGTGATGGTAGCTCTTCATGCAGATCCTGTAAGAAATAAAATAAAAATCATCTGTAAAACATGCTCCTTTAAACCTAAAATTGAGTATCATTCTAAGATCATATCTGACTTTTGCTTGCATTATCAAGTACTTTAAAAATATGTTGATAATTTCATAAAATAAAATAGCTCATTTAAGTCTTCATACACAAGAACAAAGGAAATGAATCTACCAATAATTTAACAAACATAGTAGTCACATTATACTTTTGTTCTCCTACCCACCTTGATTTCAAGCAGTACGGCAACTGCTTGGTCTTGCTTGAGATTCCCAATGAGAACTTGCCAACACAGGTCATACAGGATTTTCTTCCCTTCTCTTGCTCCAACCAGGCTGCCATCTGCTCTCAGGGTAGACTTGCATAACTTCTGACTGTAAAACAAAAGAGATAAACTTATTTCATGATTGGACACACTTCTTTATTTCTCTAACAAACTGAAATAGCGGGTCCAGCGCATTTGACCTTATTTGTGTTGAAGGTCAAATCTTGCTCTGCATTTGATTAGAGTTGATTGCCTATCTTTTGAAATCAAAACATATTTCAAAAAAGTTCTAAAGTTTACAGAAAGTTCCTTGAAAGAACGTTTATTACAAGCTAAAAACTTTTCATCGACTTCATTTAATTATGAATACTTAGGTTGAGAAAAACCGCCGGCTGAACCGACTTTTTATCACCGCATCTTGGCCAAAATATTTTCTAAATTTTCATTCAATCAAAGGGACAACATCACTTGCAACACGATAAATGTAATGAAATATATACGTGCTTACACTTGCACAACATAGTAAAGTTTTAGAAAGAGTACTTACAATTCGATTTTACCGTTTTTCTCCCAGTTTTTACACAACTCGAGAGTAAGGCACGTCGCCATTTTCTTCAATAACTGCCCGTATGTTAGTCTCTTGCTAATCCAATGTATAGCCAATATAACGCTTTAATAAGACATCAAATGCTTCTTTAATGACACTTTTTATAAAAATGAATTATTCAAAATATGTACATTGAAAATTATAATCAAATGATAGGTCATTACAATCATGCTCACTATTTGAAACATTCCATGAGTTGGAGAGTAAATTCCAAGATGTCTGCGCCCGTTCGCGGCGAGAAAATGACCAAAGCAGAGAGAAAAGCACTACGCAAACAAGTCAAATCAAAGCATACGCTTTTAAAACATGAAGGGATTGAAACTTCGAGTACACCTTCTAAAGTAATAATAAAATATGTCATTTTGAAGTTGATTTATTATTAAATGGACCAAAAGCCACGGCAAGAACTTGTAAAAGAATGTTTTCAGTGTTTGAACGTGGTCGTTGGAACGTTTAACCTGACTTTTCGTAAAAGAACTCACATCACAATTGCATGTCATAATTTTTTGTGTAGCCAATATCCTAGAAAGAATAAACATCACAATTATGCAGATTTAAGAGTATATGCCCGGTTTATGCCTAGTAATTTCAATTTGTTGTGCTCAAGTGAGTGTCTCCCATAACTCATAAGATACCGGTAGATCTGTTTCATGATAATGTTTGAACAAGTGTTATGGTTTGTTTTTAATTTTATTGCTTTTTTAGCCTAATAGTTTTTATTTATTTATTTATTTTTTTTTTTTATTTTTTTTTTTTTTACTTGCATATCATGTGAGGAAAGTTGAGTAAGAATTACATATATAGCAATATGTTTCTTTCAGCATCTTTTTGTGGCCAATGCAGGTCTTGGGAATGGAGTCAGCAGAGATGAAGTGGACTCTATCTTTAATTGGTTTGGGGAAATAGCAGACATTGTTTTGTTACCTGAGAAACCATATGCATTTGTGGAATACACTTCAGTGGACGCTGCTGTTGCCGCATGTCAAGCAATGCATGGTAGAAAGTTAAAATGCCCTGAAGAAATCTCTACCCCAGGAATCACTTTTTATATCTCCTTCATGGAAAAAGGTAAAAAAGGGCCACTTTACTTGGTTATCCAGTTGTTTCATATGACATTTTGATTTTTATAGCCTATAATAAACTATATGTTCACAAAGATTGAGTATAACAGGCATGTAAATGTGGTAGACAGTTTGGCGAAAATATAAGCAGTGCAAAAAGCACCTGTTATCTCTACATACTCAGAAAATACTAATATCATGAAGTCCCAGCTCTTAAAATTATAATAAAACATCAGTTTGAAGGGTCAAGATTATAAATTCTCTATTAAAATGAACTAGTAAAATTAATGGGTGTTTTAGCAACTGCTCTGAAATTGTGTATGTCAGTTGCAAATGTAGATTTCTTGGTATGTTAGACTTCAGTCCTTAACTCCTAATATGCTAATAGTTAGCCACATTTTCACATTGACTTCCAGTCCCCCCTCCAATATCCATTGTCAGTGCACTACCCCATGGTTTAATATACCTGGAGGAGTTTATCACAGAGGAAGAAGAACAGGATTTCCTAGAATTCTTTAAAACCCAAGATGCAGATTGTGCTGACAGTAAGAGTTGGATAAATTCTGGATTATTATTAGTATTTCATTTAATTAATTTTGATCCCTAGTTATTCTAATTTTTATTTTTGCAATGGAGGGGAATTTTGAAAATACAGAACTGAGTATGTCAGTTCAATCTTAAATCATTTGTGACTCCTTCTTTTCAAAATGTAATGGATTCTTGGCATGATGCACTTGATTTTTTTCCATGTTTTTCTCTTTTAGTGTGTTTCTAATGTACTTTTTTATGGAAAACCCCTTACCTTAATTGATATGTACAGATAGTGAGATCCATGAAGCTCAGTAAATAATTTTCACAAACCTTTGTCTACAGAAGTCACAAAAAAAGTTGTCTTGACATGACCGTCAAAGTCATGAGGAAATTGCACAGTAAGTTTTTTTTTATATTGAATACTATCATTTACAGCCCAAAAGACACTCAAGCACAGAAAAGTCAAACACTATGGATTTGAATTCATTTATGGACCCAACAATGTTGATTTAGAGAAACCATTGGAAGGGGGCATTCCCACTGTATGCGATGGTTTGCTAGATAAACTAATGGCAAAGGGGTATATTCAGCAGCGTCCAGACCAACTGACCATTAATCAGTATGAGCCAGGACAAGGTTTGTGGTAGACTCTTTTTATCAATAATTCTTGACTGAAAATAACTGACTACGTTGATCATTTGTATTGTACAAAGCATGGGTATGTATTCTTCTGACACACACGCGGGTGTGTTATATTTGTGTAATATGAGATTTAGTGATTTTGACAAAAAGAAACAACTAATTTTTTTAAATCACTGGTCATAATAAGATTAAAAAAGGGATTAGAAAAATGCAAAGGAGAACTTTTAACTACTACTAATTACATTACAGGTATCCCTCCCCATGTTGATACCCACTCCCCATTTGAAGATGGCCTCATATCGCTAAGCTTGGGATCACAGGTGAGGCAGTCTTTGTTTAACATAACTAACAGTGGTTGGGTAAACATCTGTTGGTTAAACTCTTTGGATGATTTCCAGTGTATTTACCAAAATAAATAACCCCATTTTACAAGGATATTGTTAATAATGTCTTGATTTTAAAAAGATATTAATAATAATGACTTGATTGTCTTTTATCTAAGATCATTCTGCTATTACTTTACACAGGCAGTGATGGATTTTCGCCACCCAGATGGCCGCCATCTTCCCGTGGTGTTGCAACCCCGTAGTGTAATCATAATGACTGGAGAGTCCAGGTACTTGTGGACACATGGGATTACACCAAGGAAGGCTGATGTGGTATCTGGTAGGTTATCTGTGTTGTGGAGATAATAACACAACCAGTTTAGGTAATATATAGACAATTTCTGGCCATTTTTATGTACAGACACAGATGTGTCTGTACATATTGCCATCACCTGCGTCTGTCGTCGCCGATGCCGTCGCCGATGCCGNGAATTTGCAGTTTAACATAATGTACTTTTGCATCAGAATTGACAGTAGCCTATTTTGTGCATAGTTATTTCCTGCTTTTTGTCTGTACATTTGACAGCTTTGCTGCCTTGTTCAGCACTAAGAGTGTGATAACTGAGACCACGATTTTGTTTAGAGGCATTCAATGAATGTATGTGTTACAAGTAGGAGTTCTGTAGTCTATTCCTGCATGAAATTTCCAATTTTGATATGGTGAGAAGCATTATCATTATTGCTGATCATTATGTGGTTAATTCAATTATGTGCATTTGAGTATTGTAAGTGAATGAAAATAATGAAATAGAAGTTCACATTAGTGGTGTGCAATGCATTTGTTTTATTAACCCTAAAGTGTTAACCATTGTTATTAATCCTAAAGCGCATTTTCCCTTAAATGTCAATTTTTAAATTGTTATCAATAAACTGCCCACAAATATGCAATGCAGAAAGAGGATTTTGGAAAATTTGTTTCAAGATTGTATGAAAGACTCGATTAAACATGGATGTAATGTCACTGCTCTCTTAATCCATGACATATATTGAAATTCACAGCATCATCCACTGAGGGGAGTCAAGATTCCCTCACTCTGGTCTCCAGAGGAGTCAGAACATCATTTACATTCAGAAAGACCAGAAGTGGACCATGTCAATGTAGTGGGTATTTTTATTCAATGACATGTACATATATTCCTAGAACAATTCTCATACAAAGGTTTTACTTACTTCCAATTATTGATAGGTGTCTTGTCTATATGAGAATACACTGTGAGTCAGCATAAAAAGATGCAACAGTAGTTACTGTTAAGACATTGAATAGTTTTTGTAAGATATTTTAATAGACTTGAAAACTTTTTCATAAACTTAATATATATTTTTGTCTGCCAGACCTGTAGTTTGTATCTTGGTACTGAATTGAGAGATAAATGACATCCTTCATTTAATCAAATATTGAAAATGAATGAAAAAATACTGTGTGTATGCAGCTGTTTTTCCTTAGTAATGTGACTCGTTTTTGTAGAGAATAATATTATATGCTGTTGTAAAAAGTTACACTCAGAATTCATAAAACTTTATTTCATTCTGATGGAATTTTATCTGCGCAGTCATGTTCATATCGGTCAAGTTTTAACACTGTGATTAAAAGCATATCTGTAAAAGCTTTTGTGACTGATGAAGTCCTAAGGCTAGGACAAAAGCTCTTACAGGACCTGACATACTTTCAGTCACAGCTTGAACTTCAACAGTTTTACAACTTCACTAATATGAACTTTATTTAATACATTTATTTTGATTATTTGTTTTGAAGAATTCCCAGAGCAGTGTGATTCCCAAAAGAAATCCAGCCAAGAAAATATTTTGTTGCCAAAATCAGAGCAAGAAGCAGCTCAACTTGAAAACAAACATGTTCATGAGGTAGGAATGAAAAAAACAAATTATGACAACATACATATTTTTCATTACTTCAGTGGCTTTTTATAATTGATTTGATGTAACAGAATTACTTAGAGGTGCAAAATTCATAATATTTCATCCATAGAAATATCAACCTTTGCTTGAAACATTTTGAAGTGTTTTCTGTTCACATTTACCACTAAACCAGAAAAGACACAGCCAACATGACAAAACTTTTATCCAAAGTTTACTAAATGTAATCTTGTCATTAACATTATGTAAATCTGTTGGCACAGATGAACTTAACATCAGCCAAAACAATTATTTCTTAACAAAGGTGTATGAAGAAATTGCTGGCCACTTCAGTGGAACAAGGCACACACCCTGGCCACGGGTAGTGGAGTTTCTAACATCACTACCAGATGGCGCTTTGCTTGCAGACATCGGATGTGGCAATGGAAAATACTTGGGGATCAACAAAAATATTTTTTCAGTAAGGAAATGTCTGACAAGTTTTTTTAAATAAATGAATATTTACTCATATTTAATTTTTTAAAAACAATAAGGAAAAGAAAATTAGACATAGTGTATACTGACATTTTCTCTAATGCACACACATTTAATATTGAAATATTAGTGATTAAAGTGATGCATTTTAATTCACAGATTGGTTGTGACAGAAGCTTCAACTTAGTCAAAATCTGTGAGGAGAGGGGCCATGAGGTTTTTGTGTGTGATGCTCTCTCTGTACCACTAAGGGATGGAGTTGCTGATGCCTGTATTAGTATAGCTGTGGTACACCATATGTCAACACAGGTAATAAAACAGGGGCGGATCCAGAGTTATTTTCTGACAGTCTTCCAATTTATCTTTGTTGATCCATCCTCCATTTTTGACCGTCTTCCGACAAAAAAAAATTAGATACCCGTCAATGTAAACTTGAAAATCTGACCGTCTTCCGGAAGACCCAGAAGACGCCCTAAATCCGCCCCTGTAAAACACTTCAGTTTATGGAGGAGAGATGGGTTGGATCCAGACCCCAATTTCTTAAGTTTAGCTGCAATCTCTTTCAAAAGAAATGAGGCTTTGAAAAAGTGTGACCATCAAAACCTTTCAACCCCACCCCCATACACTCACATGCATGTTCACACACACGTTCAAACACACACTGTTTACCCATTTTGTGCCTTCATGATGGTTAACTCCTGGGTTTGCCATTGTCAAGTGTTTGTGATTTCTGTGGCATCAGTATTGAAAGTTGGTCTCTTGTATTCATTACCTCCACCAAGGAGGTTATGTTTTCACCCCCGTTTGTCTGTCATCAACATAACTCAAAAAGCTATGGACCAATTTTGATGAAATTTTCAGGAACTGTCAGAAATGGGCCAAAGAAGAGATGATTAGTTTTTGGTGTTGATCCGGATCAATAATCAATCAATAATCAATAATTATCAAAGGTCGCTGCCTTGGCTAAGGTCTGCGCTTTTGGGGTGCTTTTCTAGTTTTCATTTTTTAATCTTCTGGTGCAATGCACTATGTATGCTTGGTCTGCAGAACACATAATTTAAGTAATCAAGTAAAATTTAACCATCTCATTTCTTCTTTAGCCAGGAGAAACACTGACTTTTGAAAAAATGTGCCTGTTGGGGTTATTAAATATTCTAGTGTGGTTCATTAAAAAAGTCACTTTGCTTAAGATAAATGGGGCACGTACATGTACATTTGTACCTTGCCTGTGACAATTGCTTCACGGTATGTGACATTTTGTAGATTATTATTTAAATAAAGAATTGCAAACAAAACACAGGGCATGGATTATAAAGAAAAATACAAATGTTTTTTGGTCTCTTTTCTTTGCGTGATCAAAAAATTTTCTGTCTGCATTCACCATTGCAGGAGAGAAGACAACACGCCATACAAGAAGTCTTGCGGGTGCTGCGCCCTGGTGGGAAAGCTCTGATCTATGTCTGGGCTCTTGAGCAGGAGCTCCATAAAGTGAAGTCCAACTACTTGAAGGAAATAAAAATGAAACAGAGAGGTCAACAATCAGATTCTGAAGTTGAAAACAACGAGACTGTAGTTGTAGAAAATGGCAGCCAAGTTGTCCAGAAAGTTTCTGGTCCAGATACTCAATGTGTTGGTACTCTTGCTGGCTGTTGTCAGGAAAATCAAAGTCAAACAAGCACTAAAACTGCTGCTGGGCAGGAGAGTAGGGATTCCTCCGTGAATGAGAGCAATTCTAGTGAAAAACCACACCAGGTGAAGGTTGGGGAAATGAACTGTCACACAGAGAGCGGTGCAATAAGTCAAAAAATCCTGGCGGTTCACGTGAATAGGACCAAATTTGAGCAGCCTGATTTGCTAGTGCCATGGCATCTTAAAGAGAAGGAGAAAAGAGACCAAACAACAGTGGGAGACAGTAAACTATTTCATAGATATTATCATGTGTTTGAAGAAGGAGAGTTGGAGGTTTTGTGTCAGAAAATTCCAAAGGTCCGTATAGTGGAGTCATATTATGATAAGGGTAATTGGTGTGCTATTTTGATGAAAGAAAACGATGCGTGATCAAAAGATTTTCAAGCAAGGGATAATTTTTATCAGAAACTTTGCAGGGGAAGATCCAGGATTATTTGAAAGGGGGGGGGGTGAGGAGGGTCGGTGGATGTGAAGTCGACCCCCCCTCCCCTTGGCATGGGATTCAGTGCCCACTGGAGGGCCCCCAAATATATGTTTGTATTTCATAGGGCTAACAGTGCCATTTGGTACGGTTTAGAACTATGATTCAGCCAGTCAAAATTCTAATTTCAAGAGAGGACCATTGGTGTGATTTTTTTCAGAAATTGAAGGGAGGAAGGGGTCAGGACCCCCCCTGACACCCCCCTACATCCACCACTGCTTTGGTATTATGTTACTGGCAGTGTGAGATGTGCATTAATGAAGTGCAATAACTTAAGGGAATTATGTATGAAAAAAATTAATAAATGCTAAATAGAAAGCAGCTGATTGATCACCTGCTCAATAACATACTTTTTCTAGAAAAATAATGAAATGTTATGAAATACAATGTGTAATTTTCAAAGGGCTTTATTAACATTTCGTCAATTATAAACTGTTAACACTGCTAATAACAATATTATTATTTGGGATTTTTTGTTCATCTGTGCTCTGATCCAATTTTATGATATTCCAATATTTTGTAAATATAGATTAGTAAATCTAAACTTATAACAAAAGAAGAAATAAAATATAACAGAAAAACAATGATGTGCTTAAATACAAAATTTTAAATAATATATATTCACTGTACTTAATAAGTGCTACTATAAACACAAGTATCAAGCTAGTAACCATTTAATAATTTAAAACTTTCAATTCAGAGAGTTAGAAGTGGATTTTAAACAAACCCCAAAAATGCAAGCACTGATGGCATACAGCCATATATTGCAGACATAAATGCAAAACCTAAAAACCTGGATTTCTAAATAAATCTGTGGGATTTTATCTGTAAATTCAAAGACGTATCACAGTGATTTCTTCTGAGCATGATAATAAAATCTGTGTCTGATCTGTTATCTTCTGTATCAAAAATGAGTACACAACTTTCTATTAAATTTGATGTAACAAAAATGCTTCAACAGTACTGAAAACTGTGTTATAATTGTACTATATATGATTCTAGGACAATTCCCCCCGGACAATTCTCCCCTTGAATTAAATGTGCTATGGTGCAATTTTTACCCAGGTGTATAGCTCTAGGTGTATAGCTTTAGTATTTAAATATATTGTTTTCATTTCCAAGCTATGATGTTTCACATGGTTGTTTGCTGCACTCATTACCTATGTCAGAAAAAGAGACTATGGGTGCTTTCCCAGAGATTTAGATCGATCTAAAGATTAAGTTTTAGATCGACCTAACTCCCTGGGGGTTCACGCTAAATTGCAGTCAGCCGAGTGGGCACCATAGTTAATTACCCCCTTACAGCTTTTAGTAGGCGGGACAGACGCTTAAGCCGGCCAAGCTGACAGTAATCTAGTGAGACTCCCCACAGGGATAGATCGATCTAAAAATCAATGGAAATGGGGTGTATAGTTTAAAACATTTCAANGAGATATATACTTTGATCAGATTTTTAGTAAAATGTTCTGTACTTCTATCTCGAAAATTTTATGTACTTGTATTCCATGAAAATAATTTGTTTAATAAAATTGATATTATATATCCTTGATTTGCATCATCACACTAAGAAATATTCAGAAAATGGATGAAAAGATTTCTACTTTGTACTCTTTACTTTATGTTTGTATATAAATATATATATTCTTCGGGGGGGAATCGTATGGGGGGGAATTGTCCTGATACCCTATATATTTTTGCTTCACATCAGCCACCACATAACCTAATCAACATTTCAATCTATTTTCCGTAAATTTCTACTAGAAATTTCATTACATTCTATCCATTTCTGTACATCTGGTGGACATTCTGGCCTCTGAATCTCCTCCCCAACTATCTCTCTTAGTAACTTTTCTGGTGTTGAGTTTACCACTGATTGTTTCGCTAGCATTATGGCACAAACAAAGTCATCTTGTGTCCTCTCAATTTTCTGCTCCAATATAAAAGCTTTTTCATCCCACCATAAAATCTAACAAAAGCAAAAAGGAATTTGTTTATTAGCAGGGTTATTCAATTTGAACAATATTCCAAATTACAGTAATTTATAATATTTTTTCTAAAACATGCTTAAATAATTTTACTGTTTTCTTTAAAATATGCAATAATTGTTTAACATAAGAAGTCACATGTATACAAAAAATACTATACATCAGTGAAAGAATGTTTTGTCAGAAACTACAGTGGTCTACCTTGGATTTTATCCTGAAGGTATCAAAGAGCTGAAGTGGTCTCCTGTATCTAATTGTGGCTCCTCCTAATAATATTTTTGCATTTTGTGCTCTGGAAGCCCTTGGCATGCCACACTGACACCAAAACTTGAACCGTGCAAAGTCGCATTCTCGTAGATAACGTGCATTATTCATGTGTATTTGTAGATCCAAGTCTGTTGTTGAGCAAATGCCTGGTAACAAAAAATATAAATATGTATATTCAACTTATTTTTTCTACATATTCATTCAAAACTACTAGTAGCTTGTCATGACTTTTCCTACAGAAACATGCCGAAATACTTTCATTATCCTATAATTCTCTGTGATTATATCAAATCCTGTAAAACAAAAAGAGCAACATTTGTTATTGTGAAAAGTGTTATTAATTTCATAGGCCTTGCAAACAGTTAGATTACAAGTCTGGTCACTAAAAGTTTAAAACATGTCATGCCACTGTGGCGTTACCAAAACGTTTTGAGATAAGACAAATAATTCAATGATACACTCCCCTTTTTGCTACATGTACATCCTAAGTTACATTCATCTTTTTCAAAAGGTTTTGTACAGGTAATATTATTACAGATGCAAATAATCCGCGTCTCCCTACTCTTATTCTCCTATATAACCGCAGCCAATAAGTAGAGTAAGACTTTAAGCTGAGGCAAGATGGATGTTGCATGATGAAAACGATATATTTTCAATATGCAAACAATACAGGTATACTTTACAGTACATGTGCAGATCCAACGATCTAAAACATAATAAAGATCATGTACTTACTGTAGTAAACGCTCTCTTCAAGCGGATGCTTCTTTGTTTGCAACATTGTCAATATTGTAATCGCAATGCTGTGGAGAAAATAATGAACTTCAAATAAAATATACATCACTGCAACAGCCGGCCATGCCAAGTAGGGCAGCGCCATTTTCACAATAGTATAGTCACATGATCTAACCTCTCCAGTGATTGAAGTTTCGAAAATCCAAGAACAAAGTAGACGATTTTTGTTAACGAGAAGAAAGCGCATCAATTCTCCTCAGCATTGCTCCCAACGGAACGATGAAGAGGAAACATTCACAAAATATGATTTGGAGTGAACTGAAATAACAGAAAAATCGGTCTCGTATAAATAATTCGTTGCAATTTCACTGTGCCAATTAGTGCTTCTTTATGATCGATAAGAATACATGTAACAGAGGAGATAATTCATTATATCCAGGCGTGGAAATGAGATTAATTGCAACTTTTGTTGAATCGTATTAAATGGAATTATATATATTACATAACATAAGCTTTCATAACTGTCACATGTTATCCGTTAATGAGTTTTGACAGAAAAGGGCACGACTATCTTTGTTATTGCTCGAAAGGGTTCCATAAACGCTTCAAACTGTATGCCAGTCAGTATTTTCATTTCCAGCGATATCAATGTACCACGTGCAATTTTCAAGCATTTAAAGCAATAATAACTCTTCGTTTCGGCCAAAAAATGAATTTTCCTGGAGTAAACAACAATTTTCCCATACTTACCAATGGTTAATGAATCCATTTTTACATTCAAAGTTAGTCCCTGGTTTTTTTCTAAAAAGTTTGGTTTTTTGTTAAAATCTCTTAAGAGATTTTAACAGAGTATAGACATCAATGGAGGTCACGTGGTCTAAAGACAAGTTCAAATATCAGAATAAAAGCTATAACTGCTGTTTTTGTGGTAAAACAGAATATATTATATTTCTATGAGTTATTCACAAGGTTTTTATTGTGAAATATAGGTCTCATAC